GATTATCTGATTATGTTGACGTAAAACATCTTTAAAGAGAGTTTCTTGTAAAAGCTACCATCATCGATATGTCAAATCATATTTTCATGACATCTCCATCTCGATATGCTCAAGAAACGAAAAATATATTTAAAAAAATGCAAAAAAAACCTTGACTAAATCAAAATAAGAAATTGAGAAAATTAAAAATAAAAAATTTAAAGAAAACTAAAACTCAAAAAATAAGTGGTCTGGAGCGACACAATGCATGACACTCAGGTAGACATGCCTCTCGAATGACCTCTTCGGAGGTCTTCTTCGAGCGTCGAATAACCAACTCAGAACTAATATGGAGAAGGGAAATTTTACTGTTTAATTAAAATAAAGCATTGTGATGGTCCCTACGGATATTAATACGATATAAGTAAACCGGCCGTGGAAAAAGAAGAGCAAAAATATTTTCAAACCAGTGTCTCAACTTACATTTCTTTTCTCAGATGCTCCTTTTGGTTTCTTGTTTTTCATAAATGACCTTCCAAAGTCATTTGAGACATTCTTGATCCACCACTAACTATTTAATTCATATTTGATCCTCCATCTTTATAGTTCTTGATCTGATTCACCACCATGTTCGTGATTTCGATATAAAATATCTGTAAGAACCCAGATAAAACCATAAAGATACCAAAATAATATTGCCCAACGAAGATTAAACAGAAATTAACTAAAAAACTATATGCAATCGACTAAAAATGAAAAAAAAATGCAATTATGAACTATTATGAATGCATGCAGAAAATGCATTAAACATAAATATATAAAATTTGAAATTCTTTGATATAATATTTATCAATTAAAAATCATGGTTTTAATTTTTAGAATACTTCAATAAATAAACTAAGGGTGTTCTTGGTTCCGTTTTAACGGTTTAATATCCCAAATCACAAACCAAGCCATAATGGTTGTTTGAAAATTTTCCGAATCGAACTGCTTGGTCAATTGCGGCCAACTGCTCGGTTTGGAAAACTTTCAAACCGCTATTTTAGAAGTGTTCATGTTTTGATTAAGTAATGAATTTTGGTTTCATATTTAAAAGGGTGTTTTATATAGAGAGTTTTCATCATGGAAATGGTGGATTTTAGGAAGGATATTCTTACAATAAATATATAACATTTGGGAAATTATGATTTAAATAGCATTCTTTCAGTTTTACCATTTTATATATTTCGGATGCAAGCTGTTTGGCCTCACTAACATTTGAGCCTAACATTTTTTCTTGTCGACATATGTATCTGGTCCTGGTGGCGGCATGACTAACAACACTTGAGATGTGTTGACTGGTGGTTAGAGGCACATGAAAAACTTAACTCTTTGGGATGTTTCCCAATTCCCTATCTTGGAGATACCGACTGTTATGCCGAAAGACTTAACTCATTTATCGCATCACACAAAAAAAATTCGCATCACACAAAAAAAATTCGCATCATATAAATAAAATCACAATTTTTCTCGCATCACAAGGATGACACAACTTCATTTCCTCGCATCACACAGATGCGATAACTCATCTCAACGTATCCAACACATGCGATAAATACGTCTTGTCGCACCAATAGGATGTGATAACTCAACTTGTCGCATCACAAGGATGCAACAAACGCCCTTTATCGCATCACAAGGATGCGATAAATACATCTCATCGCATCAAAAGCATGCGATAAGCCAAAGCCATTGCATCATAAGCATGCGCTAATAGTTCTTCATAAGATCAAAAATCCCAGTTTTAACATATAGTTTATTATGTCACCATTATTCCGTAATACACATCTCCTGATTATGCCACCTTATTCTATAATACACATCTCATGATTATGTCACCCTTATTCCTGAATACTTCTCTCCTGATTATGCCACCCTTATTCCAACCAATTGATATTAACATATCAAAACCCATAATTATGCTAAAAATAGCATATAAACAATTTCAAATATTTCCACATATAGAACCATACGGTCAGTGGCGGATGCAGAAAAATATATTGTAGGGGGTACGATATAAAAGAAAATAATAATTAACTTCAATTTCATACAAAAATGATAAAAAGTTACATCTTACAACAATAACAATAACAAGATAACAATAACAAGATAAAATCTTTCCATTTTTTTTTCTAGCAATAACAATAACAAGATAAAAATCAATGGTTTAGTAACATTTTTATTTGCCTACAAAATTAACCTAAAATTTGACATTTCCATTTGATTTGCCTAATTGACTACAAAATTACCTACAAAATTAACCAACAAAATTAACCTAAAATACCTAACCTAAANTTAACCAACAAAATTAACCTAAAATACCTAACCTAAAGCATTTACCAATTACCACAAAATTAACCAACAAAATTAACCTAAAATACCTAACCTAAAGCATTTACCAATTACCACAAAATTAACCTAAAATACCTAACCTAAAGCATTTACCAATTACCACAAAATTAACCTAAAATACCTAACATAAAGTATTTACCAATTACCACAAAATTAACCTAAAATACTGCTAAATTACTAATTGACAGTGGCGGAAATTAGAATCTTTACCTAATTACCCAAGACCAAGAGTCCAAGAAGGAACTTGCACAGGCGCAATCAGCACAGTCGCAACTCGCAAGTCGCAGCGTCGGCAGGCAGCTATGAAGAAGAAGAAAAGAAAGAAGTGGCCTGCACTGAAGAGTGAAGACCGAACTAAAGTCTCGCAAGTCGCAACTCGCACAGCAGTACAGCACAGTCGCAACTCTTTCCATGAATCCGTCGTTCATTTTCGTTCAATGAATCAATCGTTCCCGACTTCCCGTCGTTCGTTCAAGTCTTCAAGAGGGGCCTCTTACATCATGAGGTTGGGGGACCCAATTACACCTAATTAAAAAATACAAGTAATTTTTTTTGGGCTTTCCTATTTAGTTTTTGTTGGAAGCCCAGGACCCCAACCATATACAAGTGCATCTGTCCCTGCATACGGTTCTATTTTCAACACTATCAAAAGATGATTTAAAATAAAAACTCACCTTGTAGTCACAATTAGATGAGAATGATAAGCAACAAATTCGGATTAAGAATAATATAAATCAACTTCGTCTTTCTTCCTTTCAGTTTCAGTTTTCTCGAACTCAAAGAACACACACAAAACCTCTTCTTGTTTTTCTTTCTTTCTTTTTACCAAACTCCAATGAGATAATGAAAATATCTCAATAATATGCCTTTAAATATCAAAACAACCCCCTCAACTTTTTGCTTTTAATTAAAAAAACAACCCCAAACTTTATAACGTTAACCCGGTTATAACAACATATGAACCATATAGTATATGTGAATCCGTGTAATTCACATATGAACTATTTAACTGATTCACATATGAAATCCGTTTGATTCACATATGAACCAATTAACTGATTCGCATATAAATCTGTGTAATTCATACATGAAATATGGGTTCATATATGCACTTGTTTCTCGTCTATTTGTAAAGGTTACGAAACTACCGCTCTATTTTTTTTTGACCGCTCAAAACTGCAAATTTTGACAAGTTAAAGTCGCAATTCTTGACCAATTTTTATTGTATGAAGGACTAAAATCACTTATTTACTTATCAAATATTTACCACTTCTCAAATGAAACTATCCCTCTATTCTATTTCATTTGGGGATGCAGAGTACGTAAATATGTAACGAACACACAACGTACCATTGGTACCACACTATGAAGGCCAACAACACAAAGTTGGGTGGATGCGATATCTAATTAATTTAGGTTTTTTTTTATTAATCTCGATATCTAACCCGTTATGCGAGCCGATTAATTTTAGGGCGACCATCTGCTTTGCAGATAGTCCGGAGTCATCGTATTTGAACATCCATTGCGACAAAGGATTTTTATTCCTCTTGGATTTAAACTTATAACCTCCCGATACTTTTGACCTTTGGAGTCAACTCAAATCAATTAGGTAATTCAAACTTTAACAAAATAAAGTGTCAGCCTTCTCGCTCATTGGATTGAATCTGCTACTATTTAGACCATCCACATCCCTGCAATCCATTTACACTTTCAATTGTGCCACATCAGCTTTTGCAATTATCTTCCACACACCTGCAATTCATCTACAACACTTTCAACTGTGYCACGTCAGCTTTTGCAATTACCACCTACACACCTGCAATTCACCTACACTTTCAAAAGTGGTCCCCACTACAACATTTATTAACTATTTTATAAATTATTTATATATACATTATAATTATTTTTTAATTAATAACATGTTTTATTTTATTCAATGTTAAATAAAACGATTAATATATGATATAATATAATATAATAATTATATAATTTATTTTAATTCAATGTTAATTAAAACGATTAATTGGCAATCAGATTGATGGAAATTGATCCTTCAACTATGACAGACCAATAAAAAAATTGTACAATAAAAAAATCCGTCAACTTTTAGACGAATAAACATGTAATTTTATTTGTGTTGTTTTCTTAGTCGTACGTGTTTTATGTTAGTTATATGTAATTTTATATATTAGATTATAATTTTATGTAATTATAAAATTTAATGTTTAAATTAATTTAGTTATATTATATTTATATATTTTTAAATAACATATACACATGCATAGAATATTTTTATATAAAAATAATTAATGTAATTAATACATATATTAATATTATAAAAATTAATTTATTTAAATAATGAGAGAAAAAAAGAAAATGGTGAGGAGTTGACGTGTACGTGGCTTTCAACATAAATTGCAAATGTTGCAAGTCGCTCTCCTAGATAAAATTTCTGACAAAAGGGCTTTTGCATTTGGCTTTAAAAGCCGTGTGCGGGTTCCCTTAGAAGTTCATATGCATACATGCATGTGTCATCACGTCATTGGTCGGAAGTCTATAGAAGAGAAAATGGGTGGGTAGGTGGCTCTCGGTTCTTTGATAAATATTCATTATCAAGTGGATCTCAGTCTACCACCATTGGAAGCCAAAGAATCCGATTCTGCAGCCACCTCCACACTGCTTGTAGCGCCAAGGTGTGTCAACAATTTCAATGGAAAGCCATGCAGATGCACCGCTTCTTACCTCTAAACATGTCTCAAACAACGTTCACTTTCGCAACGACATCCAGGATAGCCCTCCGATCACCGGAGCAAAGGAATTCTTTGTTCAATTTGGAATTGAATCAAAAAAGCTCTGGTATCTCGCCGGCCCCGCCATATTCACTTCCGTCTGCCGTTACTCCCTTGGCGCTGTCACTCAAACGTTCGCTGGTCATGTCGGAACTCTAGATCTCGCAGCATTCTCCGTCGAGAACTCTGTCATTGCCGGTTTCTCTTTGGGGATCATGGTTCGTATTCTGTTATCTGTTCATCTCCTACTTTATTTCAGATGTCAATGGATTCTAGACATTTCTGTAAAGGAATAAAACCTTAGAAATCAAAATTCCTCCCAATTACTTTACCAATTCTAGTACTACAAATTAAAAGGAGGCGTAGTTGATCGATTGTGTTTATTATATATATATATATAAAAATATGAAATCCACAGCTTGGAATGGGAAGTGCGTTGGAGACTCTGTGTGGGCAAGCATATGGAGCAGGTCATGTGGATATGTTAGGTGTATATATGCAGAGATCTTGGGTTATCCTCTTGGTCACGGCTATGATGATGTTATCCCTTTACATCTTCGCCACTCCATTGCTGTTGTTCATCGGACAAACAGAAGAGATTGCACATGCAGCGGGGAAGATGGCGTTATGGATGATTCCTCAGCTATTCGCTTACGCATTAAATTATCCGATCGCCAAGTTTTTGCAGGCGCAGAGTAAGATAATGGTGATGGCTTACATAGCTGCGACGGCGCTGGTACTGCATACTCTCTTTAGTTGGCTTTTAATGCTCAAGTTGGGGTGGGGGCTTCTCGGAGGAGCGGTGGTGCTGAACCTGTCGTGGTGGTTTATAGTGGTGGCTCAGCTGATCTATATTTTCAGCGGCTCCTGTGGTCGAGCATGGTCTGGGTTTAGCTGGGCCGCCTTCAGTAACCTGTGGAGCTTCGTCAAGCTGTCCTTCGCGTCAGCCATCATGCTTTGGTAAGACAAAGTGAATATGTTAAAATGTTTCTATCCGCTAATTAGATTATATCAAGGTTTTGTTTAATTGTTAATATCTTTAAAAGGCAGACTCTGAATCGTTAAGAAGTGAATCTTGTTTGGCAAAAAAAAAGTTTGCCTTTTAACGGTTCCAAAATCCTATAAATGATTTTGTATCATATGACTCTTTTAACCATTTAGCGTCCTAATTTTATCGTAAACAGTTACCAAATAATTATATTCATTTTGAACTATATTATAAGAGTCTCTTAATCATGCTGATCACTTAATCATTCTATACCAAATCATTCAGCAACTGCCAAACAACCCCTAAGACCCATTTTTTTCATTTCAAATACATAATTTAAATTTGATTCTCATATAAAAATGATACATGTACCCTCACTTTCTTATGTGAAATCAATCATATAATAAGATATTATTATTATAAAAATTTTATCAAGAAATTGACAAAAATAGTTATTTCTCTCGTATAAATTGGTCTCTTGATCAATTATCTCCATGATTTACTCAAATATCATACGTGCGCAAGTCCCACGTCCGTCACTTGCAGACTTTGCTAAAAGACAAAAATTATCATATATGATCTAGATCCGCAATTACGACGGTCAGGTCTACAATTTGAATATTTTTTATCTTTTAGCTAGGTCCGCAAGTGACAAACGTGGGACTTGCAGACGTAGTGATATTTGGATAAATCAGATTAATGAATAATTAAGAGACCAATTTATGTAAGAGTAATAACTATTTTGGCAAATTTTACAGAATCTAAAATAATTATTTTTAATATAATATCAATTTAAATTTATTTACAAACAAGTTGTATTAAAATAAAATTAATTTTAAAGATTCTTGTTGGAAAAATCCAAATTTTAAAACTTGTTATTCTGAAAGTTAAAAATAGAACCTAACATTCTTTTTATCTCTCATATATCGAGAAACATATAAAAAATAAAATAAAAAATTCCGAAAATTGGTTTAAAATAGGAATAAAAACAAATTTTGTATTTTATTATCCTTCAATCTTCAATTAATCATATGCTTGAATGATGATATAACCTTTTTCTAATCTTATCCTATTAATATATATGAATACAATCAACTTTAATTTTATGGCTCTTTTTAAGAAACATGAATTTGCTTATTCTTAATAATTAAGTGGTTATTGAGAATATGTATGAATATAAGATTTGTTTTATGTTTTTTTATTAACCTGGATATTCAATCCGCTACGTGAGCCGACTAATTCCAGAACGACTATCTGCTCTGCAGATAGCCTGGAGTCACCGCATTTGAACCTCCGTGACCACAAGGGGATTTTTATTCCTTCTTGGATTTGATCCTGAGACCTCCTTATACTTTTGATCTTTGGAGCCAAATTCAAACCAATCAGACACCACCATTGTGGTTAATTTGTTTTATGTTTTTAATCAAGCATTTAAACAAAATGGTTAACCCTAATTAATGTAATCTACATATGTGGTGCAGTTTGGAAACATGGTATTTTATGGCATTGGTACTTTTTGCTGGATATCTAAAGAACGCCGAAGTTGCCGTGGATGCACTCTCCATATGGTCAGTACTATTTCTTGCTCATTTATTATCCACTGTCTCATAAATCTCCATCTTAAAGAGCACTTTAATATATATACATATATATATATATATATATATATTAAATAAAGAAAAATAGATTTTCTTTTAACAGATTTTTTATAAAACAGAAAAAAGTAGAGAAATGATTTTTTTTGTTTATTTTTATCAATAAAATTGAATTATTATTATTTTATATAAATTTTTGCTTTTAAAAAGTAGGTTTGATGATAAGACTTCTAAAACATTAAATTTATGGAGTTAAATATAGACGTAATTTACCCAAATATTTACCCGGTAAGTACTTATTGGTAGAAATCAACACTATAATATATTTTACCAGATAAGATTGTAGTATATTAAAACAATATCGTATGCAACAATTTATCCGATAAACACTTACCCGGATAAAAGTCTTCATCATCACTTACCGGGTAAGACTCTCTATCCCTATCATCGCTCTTACCGGGTAAGATTTTCAACTCTTGCCATGTGCATCAGGTGAGGAAAGTTACCCGGTCCACACTTATCGAGTAAGTATTTAGTAAACGGCCCCGTAGTTTCATTTTAAGATTTTAAACTTTGTTTATTTTATTCTAGAGAATATATAAATAATATGTCGGAGATGCTTTAACCCATTTGAATTGTTGGGTTGGGTTTCGATGAGAATGAAAATTGTGGTGAGAAAGTGAAGAAGAGATTTTCACCATCGGATCAATCTTAATAAGAAGAGAATCACTAAAACAACACTAATGAGATGCAACTAGGTCAATTTTATTTTAAAGTGTAATTAATTGGTTTTGAAATTAAGTAATCAACGGTTCAAATCTCTTCTTACACTTTTCATCTAAATCATATTCTCATACGATAATTTGTCTCAAACTACTTGCCAAATCTAACATAATTCGTTTGTTTGATCATAAACGTTACTTTTTTGTGCCAAATCAATAAATATAAAAATTCATATATTTTACACGTAAGTAATTTAGAGTATAGGGGCCGTTTATAAAACGCTTATTCGGATAAGCGCTTATCAAGTCACGTTACCTTACCGAATCAATATGGCAAGGACCAAAGAATCTTACCCAGTAAGAGCGAATGTAAAAATTGAGAATCTTACCCGGTAAGTAACGGCGACGACTCTTATCACGGTTAGCACTTACCAGGTTAATTGTTGCATACAATATCGTTTTGGCGAACTAAAATCTTACCCGGCAAGTAATTGATAGTTTTAAATTTTGTCGGTACGCACTTATCCAGGTAAGTATTAGTAAACAACCCCTTATATATCTATTTGGTATTTACACACCGTTTATAGGTTTTCAATAAAGATATTTTGTTTTTGTTATATAACTCTATTATTTCACAAGAGATCCATAATTAACGACATTAGAATATAAATCATAAATAAGAACTTTAAACGATGTGGACATATTAGAAGGGTATTTTCGGAAAAAATGTCATTTTCATATTATATTTCTCAGTTGCAACTTGTGACATAAATATTGAAAAGTATATTGTGAAAACCTTGGTCAGGTTGACCATTTCAATATCTCCTCTTTTATTTATTTAAACTATTCGTTCATATATTTATTATCAGAAAGACAAGATAACAACACATAATTTATTATATATTAATTATTTCTATATTTGATGATTAAATATTATCCATTTTTTTTCTTACAAAAAATTAGATTACTCATTTTATTCTAAATTAAAATTTTGTAAAATATAACCAATATTTTATTTAAATAAATTATTAAAAACCAATAATTTTGTTATCTTTGATTTAAGATCTATGATGTAATGTTTTTTTTAAAGATTACATATGAATTTTAAACTGATTTACAGTATTGGTTATAAGTTTTAAATTGATTCATGTACAAGTTATGACTACCATTCGTATATGAATCTATATCAGGATTCATATGTGAATCTATATCAAAAATCACATGTTCACATACACTTAATTGCTAATTGTCACCGTCTGATGAAGAAAATTGATGTTCGTATTTACGTATGAGATTTTAGCAAAAATGAGATTTAATTCGATTTGTATGGTTTCAAGGTGAAAAATAAGAAAAAAAATCTTTGATTATCAACATCAAAAAAATTTAATTGGAAAAATATAAGATCGTTTCTCTCATTTTTAAATTTTGATTTTCTTTTTCGTAAGGGTTGTTTGTTTACCTCTTAATAGTTCTATTAAGAGACGACCTCTAAATTGTTAAGAGATAAATCTTGTTTGGCAAAAAAATTTTGTCTTTTAATGTTCTAAAACCCTCTAAATGATTTTGTATCATGGATCTCCCTTAACCATTAAGAGCCTTAATTTCATTGTACACAGTTACTAAACAATTATATTTCATTTTGCACTATATCATGAGAGTCTATTAATCATTTAATCATTATGTACCAAATCATTCAGTAATTACCAAACAATCCCGTAATTATCTTAAATAATGAAATTTTTTAAAAATATTAATCTTAAACTAATGGTTAAGATTATTTCTCTCATTTAAGGTTTCCTATTTCAACCGCATACAAGAAACACAAGATAACTAAACTAGTTTTTTGTTAAGAAATTGAATATTTGAAAAACATTTTAAAAGAATAATTAAAAACGTGACATGGTTTTAGGTGAATGACAATAATATTTGCACAACTGAGGACTGTTTTCCATATTGGCGTCTATTTTATGAGTCACAAATTTGGTGATTGGTTTGTTGTATTATATGGATCTATATATATATATATATATATATATAGAGGAGTGATCATATGAAACCGTCCTCATTTGTGTAAACCGTGCAAACCACCTTCATCTGTCAATTTTATTGTTTAATCTTATTAAAAAATTTCATGAAATTGTTTAATCTTGTGAAATTATTTCATATAATACTTTTTTTGATDAAGTTGTTTCATATATGGTTGTGAAATTGTTTCATATAATACTTAATGAAACTGTTTCATGTATTTCTCTAACATTAATGAAACTGTTTCATRTATTTCTCTAAAATTAAAATWATGAAGATGATAATATCTATGATTAACACCCTCCACAATAAAAATGATTAATCAACCTCTCATAATTACAAAAAAATGAACAAAATGAAAAATTATGATTAATTGAATGCGGTTTGCACGGTTTGTACAAATTGAGTGGTTTGCATTTGATCACTCCCCTATATATATATACCATATATATACCCTATATATATATACCTTATACAAATGCACAAGGTTGTAAAAGAAATATACCCTATATATATATATATATATATATATATATATATATATATATATTGCATTTCTTGGGTAGCCATGTACATGACGGAATCAAATATAAAATAAAATAAGATGACAAACATTCCAAAATTAGGTGAAAAAGTTGTTTACTATATGATATAATTATACAAAAAAAATTTGTTTTGTTTTGTTTTATTTTGTTTTGTTTTGTTTTTTTATGTTATCCCAACTCAGAATTTCTTATATTATTTAGTTTCATAAAATATTAATCAAATAAAAAACTTTGAAAACATTAGGAAATAAAGAAGTTAAAGTCTCAAAATGATCGAGATTAGACCGAGGACCATGCCTATGTTACGGTACTAGTCCAACCTTTCGGCCTTGAATCCGGTAAAGTTTTTGGACCTATTCTTAAGTAGTTTGTGGTTCAATACTGATTTGAATCCAATCAAATTCCAAACAAGAGGAAGTAGATATTTAGATGGTACCAATCAGAATAGGGTAAGATTATGATACAAACTAAATTTTATGGGCCGTTTACCAAATGCTTACTCGGGTAAACGTTTATCAAGTCACGTTACCTCACCGGACGAATATGGTAAGGACCAAAAATCTTACCTGGAAAAAGCGAGACAAAGACCAAGAGTCTTACCTAGTAAGTGAGGGCGACGACTCTTACCACGGTAAGCACGTACTGGGTAAATTGTTGCATGCGATGTCGTTTTGGTGGACTAAAATCTTACCCATTAAGTAAATAATAATGTTAAATTTTATTGGTAAACACTTACAACGACCCCCTTAATTTCTGTTTATGATTTTTAATGTCCAAAACCAGTTGCCGTTTTTGATACTTCAAAGACAATTAACAAATAGTTGGTGTGATCGGTAGATAACTTTGAATCAGACGTTAGATTTCGTCTAAAAATTGGGTTCTCTCTTATTTTGGCATGACATATTCACTGGCAAGTGGCAAGTGGCAATTGGTAATTTGGTATTGGCTTGTAGCAAATTCAAAATGGACAACTAAAATGGTCCTAAAATTGTTTTATTTTAACAGTTTTGTTACGACAAATCGAATGAAAACATAACGTATTTTGGTCATTTTTTGTTGTGTAATATGTTTTTAAAACTTTCATTTTAATATATCAAACGTTATCTCTCAAAATGCATTACATGAAATAAGAATCAGACAAAAATACATTATATATTCATACAATTTTACGATTTCATCATTATTTTTTGTGACTCTTGTCCATATTACTACTCCTATTGGTTGTACACTCGGTATAAAAATGTATACTAATAATCAGTTGTACTTTATTAGGTTTTACTTTTCTAAAACTCCCATTTATTTATTTATATACACATTAAAAGGGTATTCGTGTAATGTAGAAAGATAAATCTTTATTTTAATGTTTACTTTTTATTCTGTCTTTATCGATATAATATGATTTTATGTGGTTTTAAGAAAGAAATAATGTTTTTATTTTTGAATGAAATATAAATTTGAAAGAAATAAATCGATATTAATATCAAATTAATTGTTTAATAGTTTCCATTTATTTGTGTAACTTCCTTAATTCAAAATTTTATTATAATTTAATTTGGATTTAATAACAAAGTAATTTATTTTTGGTTTAATAATATAATTTTTATAAACATAATAATTAAACGTTCTATTAGAACTCAATAATTATCTTAATTATATTTTAGATTTTATATATTTAAAATGAATGTATATCTTGTATTTGATTATATTTATCTGCAGTTAGTTACACGAACTTAAAAATGGAGCTTTAATAAGTTGTACTTACGCAAAATTACTTGCAATCTTAAATTTTAAGTAATATGCATCAATAAACAGTACTTCATATATAAAAAATGATTTTTAAGAATTTTTACCAAATATAGATATACGTTTTTAAAAGTAAATTATTTATCATAACTAAGTCTGATGTATTAATCATTATCTTCACTAAAAGTAGTGTTGCAGCATACATCTTATTTCGTTTGTTGTTAACATCAGCTTTATTTTCTATGATAATTGTTGCAGCACAAACATTGTTGGATGGGCAATTATGGTAGCAATTGGATTCAACATCGCTATCAGGTTTTTTTTTTTAGTATATAATATTTATATACGATAAATACAACAAATAAACTCACACACCTTTTTTACCTATGGTGAGGTTTAAACCCCTGACCTCCTAAAAGGTCAAGGGCTATGATATCGCTAGGCCAAAGGCCCTTTGGTAGGTTTGTTTCAAGAAATTTATTAAGATGTATTTTCAAACATAAATCAGATTATTTTTTGATTTTATCAGAGAAATTCATATTATTTTTTGAGTTTATCAAATAAATCCAGTTTGGATGGATAAAAAAAAATTATAAATTAGCTTATTAAAACGTTATTAAAGTTCTAGAAGCTTTTTGTCAGATTTTTTTAATTATACCATGAGTGATATTAATTTTTATAATAAATATTATTTGATTAAATTATTATCAATATCAAATTATCATTTACTCCAATAAATACGATAGATGTTGATCCAAAGATAATCGTTTATTACAGTGTAAGGGTGTCGAATGAACTAGGGGCAGGCCATCCAAGAGCTGCAAAATTTGCGATCGGGGTGGTGGTGGCTTCCTCATTTGCATTCGGTACTTTGCTCGCCATTCTCCTTGTCATTTTTCGGCATCAATATCCAGCCATTTTTGCCGATAGCAAAGAAGTTCAGCAAGCGGTTTACGCCCTCACTCCATTGCTAGCAACTTGCCTTATCATTAACAATATTCAACCTGCACTCTCCGGTAAGTATACATCCATACTATATTACAAAACATCTAGATTTTAACTCTTAGGGACCATTTACCAAATGTTTACTCGGGTAAGCACTTACCAAGTTATATTACATTACCGGATGAATATGACAATGATCAAGAATCTTACCCAGTAAGAACGAGGCAAAGACCGAGAGTCTTACCCGGTAAGTGAGAACAATGACTCTTACCACGGTCAGCTCTTACCGGCTAAATTGTTGCATAGAAAATCGTTTTTGATATTTATTTTTTTCAAAATTATAACCTAGTTTCCAAAATTCACTAATATCTTCACATGCAAGTATATCTATACTATATTATAAAATATTTGACAAAAACTTTCAAAAACTATTTTTTATGCATGAAGTACTGTTTATCGATTCATATTACTTAAAATTCAAGATTATAAGTAAATTGTACGTAAGTACAACTTATTAAAGCTTCATGTTTGAATTCGTGTAACTAACTACATATAAACACAATCAAATAAAGGATAAACATCTCATTTTAAATATAAAAAATCTAAAATATAATTAAGATAATTATTGAATTCTAACAAAATACTTGATTATTATCTTTATAAAAAATATATTATTAAATAAAATAATAATTAAAGAAATACACAAAAAACGAAATAGTTAGTTTTGTACTAATATCAATATTGAGATGTATCTCGTTACATTGTGCGAGTATTCTTCTAGTTAATAAAAATAGATTTACTATATTATATGATATTTACATCTTATTATTACAAATGTACAGCTTTATTGCTGCCTTTCAAAAAAAAACAAATGTACAGCTTTATTGCTGCCTTTCAAAAAAAAAACAAATGTACAGCTTTATTGTTGCCTTTCAAAAAAAAAAAAAACAAATGTACAGCTTTATTGCTGCCTTTCAAAAAAAAAACAAATGTACAGCTTATTAATATGTTTGAACTTTATAAAACAAACTGATAATTAAACATGCTCAAATACAAGATAAAAGTAGACCCTACTAATACGAGCAACAGAAAAGTCTATCACACATAAATTCATAAAAAGAATCGAGAGAAAAGAAACATATATAGATGTATTACACTACATTGTGTGGATACATTTTTAGTGCTTAATAAATCATTTTATACCTAGGCTTGATCTTGTAGATTGTGTTTCGGGTATCTAAAATCATCCACAATAGTTGAAGTTTTTTTTACCATAACAACGGACCCAAAAGCAAAAGACAAGTTACTTGTACTCCACAAGCAAAAAGAGGGGTTCATATCAAATGACTTTTAGCCTAGTGGTATCGTAGTCTTTGACCTCTTAGGAGGTCAGGGGGTTCAAACCTTACCAAAGGTAATAAGGGTATGTAAGTTTATTTATTGTATTTGTCGTACATAAATATTATACACTTACAAAAATAGTTTTTTTTTCCGTAAACTTAGTGGATCAAAAAGCTCCATAAAATTTATGTGGAAAATGTGTATATATGTACAGGGGTGGCAATTGGGGCAGGATGGCAAGCTGTGATCGCTTATATCAATATCGCATGCTACTACGTGTTTGGCATACCTTTGGGACTCACTTTGGGTTTCCTAGCCGATTGGGGCATAAAGGTAATTATCACCTTTTACTCAACCAATTCTTCTGTTTCAAGTTTAATTAACATGTATGGAGAATAATCAATCGTATGTCATTGAAGGGTATATGGATCGGCATGCTAACTGGAACCGTGGTACAAACAACCGTCTTGTTTTGCATTTGTTACAGAACAAACTGGGATAAAGAGGTACTTTTAATTACTTGACACCCATTACTTGTTTCATTTTTCAATATCTACTTATATATATATATATATATATATATATAGAGAGAGAGAGAGAGAGAGAAAGAGAGAGGTTTAAACGAAAAGAAAGTCAAAGTAAGAGAACACCCATATCAAATGTGACTTCAAAACAAAATCACATGTGAGTGAGGAATTGATCGAATCTATGTGTGCGCGTTGAGTTGACCACTCCTCAGGATTCACATGTAATATAGGGTTCTTGTGTTCTCTTACTTTAACCATTTTCTTGTTTGAAGACAACCCTATATATATATATATATATATATATATATATATGTGTGTGTGTGTGTGTGTATGTATATAGGGATAGGTTTTGAAAGTATGGTAAGAAATGTAAGAAGGGAATTCTACCAATGGATCAATTATAAATTGAAAATCAATATATGGTGCATGGAGGTGCACTGATCAATTCTCATAATAAGCGCAATTCATGGTGTGAAGATAAAATTAAAAATGATCAAGAGTGCAAATTGTTTCTTACGCTTCTCACTTAACTCCTAGTCTCACACGATTCTTCGTGTCTCTCTGTCTAATGTATACACACACACACATACACACATATAAGGGTTGGGTTCCATTGAGAAACATAAGAAGAGATCTTCACATTTAGATCAATCCTAACTGAATATCAACACTAATGAGGTGCACCATGATGCACAGAATTAATTCCCTTCTAAAGCGTAATTCATGAGTGGGCATGAGTTTAAGTGGCTATTTACCAAACACTTACCCAGTAAACACTTACCAGTAAAATTCAACACTATCACTTACTTACTAGGTAAGATTTTAGTCCACCAAAACGGTATCATATGCAACCATTTACCCGGTAAGCGCTTACCATGGTAAGAGTGGTCGCCTTCACTTACCGGGAAAGACTCTTGGTACTTGTCTCGCTCTTACCGAGTAAGACTTTTGGTTCTCGTCATATTCATCCGGTAAGGTAACATGACTTGGTAAACACTTATCCGGGTAAACATTTGATAAATAACCCTAAAAGTAATCAAGATTCCAGATCCCTTCTTACGCTTCTCAATATAATTCTCCTTCTCACACGATCATTCGCCTATATATGATTGGGATCATGCAAGAAATCAAAATTCCGTAGAAAGGTATACGTTAAGATGGACATTAAGGTATACTAACATGAAAATATTAGCATAGCTTATAATGGAATATTAAAATACGCTAACTATTAACTTATATGAACCTCTGTTAAATTATGTATCTTTTATCGTTTTGATTTCCTACCAAAACTCAACGCTATATACATATATACATATATATACATATATACATATATATATACATATATACATATACATATATATATATATACATATATACATATATATATACATATAGATAGATAGATTTAATGGTTAGTATTTAGCTTATTTCAGACTTTTAACAAGTGGGTTAAATATTTAAGCAAATTATAACCATTTGAAGAAGTTATATAAATTAAGGGACCGTTTACTTATATACTTACCCGGTAAGCACTTACCGGTAATATTCAACACTATCGCTTACTTATTGGATAAGATTTTATTCACTAAAAAGCATCGTATGCAACAATTTATCCCCGTAAGCGCAAACCATGGTAAGAGTCCTCGTCCTCACTTATAGAGTAAGACTCTCGATTCTTGCATTCGTTCTTACCGGATAAGATCTTTTGTTCTTGTCATATTCATCCAGTAAAGTAAAGTGACTTGATAAACGCTTATCTAAGTAAACATTTGGTAAAGTGCAATTAAATTAGAGTTTTGAGATTTTTTTTGTTAATTTTGTAGGCGTCCATGGCTGACAAGAGAATTAAAGAATGGTCTGGTCAGACTAATGTGGAAGGCTCAGATAAATGACTTGATGGAGGCTGAATTTATTTAATGGTTCGTATTGGAGTAAATTACATTCTTCGTCCCTATAATTTGTTAGAAATTACAGATTTTGTCCCTGTGGTTTTAAAACTACGGTTTTCATTTGTACCGTCTGCAATTCATTTTCATTTTTGTATCTGAGAATAACTACTATTTTTAAGTACGAGAGACTAAATTAAACCATAAGAACGAAAACAATAATAAATTGTAAACCATGAGAAGAAAAATCGTAATTTCAAAATTACAGAGACAAAAATAAAAAATTTCAACAAACCACGGGAATTTGGAAAAACAAGTTTTTTTCTTATGACGGATTTGTCATCTCTTTCACGAATAAGATAATTATAAATTGGGATCAATGGGCATTGAACTTGGGAAAAAATTGAGCACAAATGTCCCAACGAAAAAATTATGAACTTTTATCCGTTTTAACCAATTATCGAACCGAATAACTCAAAACTGATTAAAACGAACCTTATTTGGTTTAGTTATCGATTAATTTTAAAAAAGTTAAAAACCATTTAACCCAAAAATATATCGAAAAAACCTATTTAACCAACCGAACAGCATTCCTACCCTTACTAGTTTAGTTCGGAAAGTTGTGTCCAATCATCGAGTTATTAATCTCAGTCTCAAAACAGTTCTCTATCTTTTTTCTATTGTCAAAAAGTACAACCTCGACGATAAGAAATGTTTTCGAACACAGAGCATGAACTTTATTTTGTTATATACTACTGATTATTGTTACGGATCATGTTTTATTTTTTATAATAAATAAAATTAGGTTTCAAACATGTTAATCCTAACATCCTAATCAATAAAAGAGGAGACAATATGTTATGAATATTAAAGAAAATTGGTTGGACATGAGAATTTATAGGGATCCTGACAAGACTAAGGAGCCGTTTATCAAACATTTATCCGATAAGTGCTTACCGGTAAAATTTAACACTATTATTTTCTTACCATATAAGATTTTAGTCCACGAAAACGACATAGTATACAACAATTTACACGGTAAGCGCTTACCGTGGTAAGAGTCGTCGCTCTCACTTACCGGGTAAGACTTATGGTTCTTGTCTCGCTCTTACTGGGTAAGATTCATGGTCCTTAACATATTCATCCGATGAAGTAATGTGACTTAGTAAGTGCTTACCCGGATAAGTGTTTGGTAAACAGCTCCTAACTTCTCATTGTTTCAAAAATACATTTTTAACCTTAAACTATAAATCTTTCTAAAATAACCACCTCTTATTATTAAACAAAATAAATAGAAAATGTTTAAGAACTACCAAAAGAACAAATGAATAGATTTTAAAATTATTAATTTACAGAATTATATTAATTTTAATTTGTATATTTTATTAATATGTTTTATAGATTTTTTAAAATAAAATATATAAAATAATAAAAGAACAAGAAAACGAAACAAGAAGTTGAGTTCTCAAATCCTACGTCATAAATACCCATTGTATCACAACAGCATCGCTCCCATCGTCATCCACTCTTTATCATTATTGTTGAGCCCCTGCAATCGATCTCCTCCTCTTTTTTCATCAGTTTTTTATGTTTTTCAAATTTCTCTTTTTTTATCTGTCCAACATTCACCATTAGAATATTGCAAAAAGGTGAGAATCAAAAGAGAAATAACAAATAAAAAAGATGAATATCAATGACATGGACCAACTAGTAAAACCATCCACATCCCTGCAATCCATTTACATTTTCAATTGTGTCACATCAGCTTTTACAATTATCTTCCACACACCTGCAATTCACCTACAACACTTTCAATTGTGTCACGTCACCTACACTTTCAAAAGTGGTCCCCACTACAACATTTATTAACTATTTTATAAATTATTTATATATACATTCTAATTATTTTTTAATTAATAACATGTTTTATTTTAATTCAATGTTAATTAAAACGACTAATATATGATATAATTTTATATATTTGATTATAATTTTATATAATTATAAAATTTAATGTTTAAAATAATTTAATTTATTATATAATTAATGTAATTAAAAATATATTAACATTATTAATTTATAAAATTAATTGTTTTGTATAAAAATAGTTTATTTAAATAATTAAAAGAAAAAAATAAAATTGGAGAGAAGTGAGTGGGCCATGTGGCTTGCAAATTGACTTGCAAATTTTGCAAGTGAAATCCTATGTGGCACAAAATTGCATTTTTGCAATTGCTTTTGCAATCCATTTGCAAGCCCCATGTGGGTGCTCTAATGGCCAAAAACCGGTCCCGGTCCCAAGCTTTCTCATAACCGGTCTCGTTCGAAAAAGTTGAGTCAGCTCAAGCTTTATTATAGCCGGTTATGGGCCGTTGGTCCCGGTCCCGGTCATTAAAAAATAATTTTTTTATTTTTATTTTTGTAATGATATATATATTTTTAATACATTATAAAATTTGTAATTGGGTCACTAAAATACACTTCAAAAAAAGTGTTTTATTATAATTAAAATTACATTGTTTTACAAAGTATAGTGAGAAAAACCGATAATTGTGAACATTTTTTTTTTTTTGTGTTTTTTGCGAATCGAGAACTTGGTATGTAAATCCCTCAACCAATACACTATATATAGTGTTTATAAAGCAAAAAATACAAAAAAAAAGCTAGTTTTTTGAAAACTAACGGCTACATTTTTTAAAAATCGGGCCGGGCCGGGCCGGGCCGGGCCCGGTCCTCCGGCGGTCCCGGGTCGGGTCGGGCCGGTTTGGCCATCATTACCGACCAACGATGGGGCAATGAAGGGGAGCGATGTTATTGGGTGTGAGAAGTTTGAACGACATAGAGTTTGAGAACGGTAAAACTTATACAAGTTTTTTTATTTTTTTTTATTTTTTTTACTTTTCTAGCCAATTACAAGTAGTTTTTTTTTAAATTAAAACGACATAGGTAACCCATATTTTGAAACTCAATAATTTATAGAAACTTAACCATTCAAAACAAAAAAAAAATTAATAACCACAAGGGTGGTGCCTGATTGGTTTTAGTTTGGCTTCAAAAGTCAAAAGTACCAGAAGGTCTCAGGTTCAAATCCAAGAAGCAATAAAAATCCCCTTGTGACCACGGAGGTTCAAATGCGGTGACTTCCGGCTATCTGCAAAGCAAATGATCACCCTGGGATTAGTCGGCTCGTATAGCAGGTTAGACATCCAGGCTAATAAAAAAATGTTAATAGTTTTTTAATTCAAAAAAAATTATAAAAAATATATAATTTAAGTGTAAAAGAAAATCAAATGAATAAAAAAAATTCTATAGAAAATGTCGTGACTTCTTTTTGGACCCAATCCCATAACTCTATTATTGTACTTGGATTTGTACACGCAATATAAATTCGGTATCCTGACAAGACTAACCTCCCACTATTTTAAAAATACATTTTTAACTCTAAAATATAATTTTTTCTAAAAATAACCACCCCTTACCCTCTACGCACCGGTCCGTGCGTAGAGGGACCAATTTGCAACAACAAAAAAAAAATTTGAAGCTTGAGTTGACAACACCCTGACCGAGGACCCTTGACCAAGACCACACTCTTACACACCGACCGGGTGCACTGTGTAAGGGCCCTACCGGCTGTAAAAAAAATTTCCTTTTTATTCCTCCTTCCTTCCCACATTATATATAGATATCTGGTTTATTTCAAAATTTATCGATATATACGTATCAATGCAGTGTTTACAAAAAAAAATATCTTCTCTAAATTCTCAAGGATCAATGTATGTTACTGAGAAAGTTAGAGTACGTGTTTTTTGTAAAGGTTGGTGGCAGTTAATCAACGACGTGATAGATTATATTCCAAAATCGCAAAAAGTTGTTGTATTGTTGCCGATACACTTAACATTTCCAGGTTTGATCAATTATTTAGCTAGAAAATTAAACTTACCTGATTTTCAAAATCGTTTTAAGTTAACTTATAAATTTCTGTCATATGGTTCGATTGTCGAGTTATTTGACACCGATGATACGAGAATCGAGATTCATAACGAATCAAAACACATTAAACTCCATCAAAGTACCATTTGAAATTAATGGAACCAATTAATATCCATCAAAACTCATGGCATAGCATATAACTTCAGAACTTAAGCATATGCATAATACCTTGCTTGGTTTGTAGGTCCGACCAAATATGAATGAATTGAAATGATCACTTCCTTTGACCAAATTCCATCATCAAGCAACAGGGTTCTGTTTTGGGTTCCACCCTCATCGAGAAATAGATTTCGTCTCTGTTTTGGGTGCACACCTTCATCGAGCAACAGGGTTCTTTGTTTTGGGTTCACACCTTCATCGAACGACTTTTGTCCTGTGTTTTTGGTTCCCATTTTCATCGACCAACAAACAGGATTTGGGTTGATCTGGTTGAGTTTTGGTATTAGGGTAAGCAACATGGTTCTTCACTGTTTTGGGTTCACACCTTCATCAATAAACTTTTGTCCTTTGTTTTGGGCTCCCATTTTCATCGACCAACAAACAGGATTTGGATTGATTTGGTTGAGTTTTGGTATTGGGGTTTGGGTTTTAGTTTCCGTTTTCGATTAATATGGTTTGATTTTCGATCTGGGTTCCAAATGGTTTCAGATATGGGTTCTAAATGGGTTCGTGGAATAGTTCAGGTCTGAGTTCCAGCATTCAAAAGGGTATAAAAAATCATAAAAGGGGTATTTTGGTCATTTTATCGTTTATTCATTGCAATTCCGAAGCTACATTCAACCAACCAAACAGACAGATTCCAAATCATTTAGCAGATTCCATTCCAACTCATGTCAACCAAACGCTTAGTTAAATTTCATTCCAATTCCTTCAAAGTCAAATTTTCGAGAGATTCGTTCATTCAGAAAACATCATATGAACCAAACGCCCCTTTAGGGTTTTAAAGAGAATTTTGCAATGCAAAACTATGATATGCAAGGATTTGTTTCTATTGAAAGTGTATCAAGCTTTAGATAGAAACGATGGCACAAACGTCGATTCATCACTTAAATCATATGTGAATAGGTGAAAAGGGCAAGACTCGAACATGTAACGAAAAACCTTCATCCTCTAGTTCAATTCTAGCTTCCAGGTTCCTCAT